GGCTATTAGTATTGCAAGTCTAGTTTCAACCTTGGTCGTTCGCAGGCTTTTAGGGTTAAAATAGCCGTCACCTCTGACCCCTGCAGAGCAGAGTTGCGGCTATCACTGCAACTTGGGCCAAAGTTTTCAAAAGCTGAGCTGCACAGCAGAGAGAACACATCTCTCTGGAATTATTTTTTTTATTTTAGATTGAAAACATCTTCTATTAGTATTGCAAGTCTAGTTTCAACCTTGGTCGTTCGCAGGCTTTTAGGGTTAAAATAGCCGTCACCTCTGACCCCTGCAGAGCAGAGTTGCGGCTATCACTGCAACTTGGGCCAAAGTTTTCAAAAGCTGAGCTGCACAGCAGAGAGAACACATCTCTCTGGAATTATTTTTTTTATTTTAGATTGAAAACATCTTTAGCCATTTTAATTAAATTCCCACCATACAGCACCGGGGGGAGGAGGGGGTGCAAAACCCTTAAAGGTATAGTCCACAATCTCTCTTCCTTGTTTCCTTTAGGTTTCTTTGGCAGTTTGATTTCAAGCATGAAAATTGTTATCATAAAACTGATTATTAGGTCATCATTTCATCCTTGGCTTGCAAGGATAAACCTGGGGGGGTAATTCTCCTTTCCTCTACCTCCCCCCCCCCCTCTTCTCTTAGCCTTTAGCATTGATAGAAAAGGCACATTTGGGAGATAGTGTTTGGAGGGGGGAGGAGTGGGCTAAAGGAAGAAATTACTTTACTATGTATCATATGCTTGTCAGCACACCTTAAGAATTCTCACCCATAAGGAGTTTATTTTGGAAAGGGGGGAGGACTGTAAAGGAGGGGACAATTTGGTTGTCCCTCTGTCAGTAATAAAAATTCATTCAACGGGGTTGTGTCTCCCTCTTCCATGTATAATCAGACTTCAGAGGAGTGGAAACTTGTGTGCACCATCGCTAGGGTATTCATGATCAGTTAAAAGATTTGCCCTTCTGATCAATATTGTGCATTTATTCCTCCCCTCTTCCCCCGCAAAGGCTGCAATGATAGTTGCCTTCCTCGGGTTTTTTCCACCATTGTCTGAGGTGGGTAAAACCCATTTGTAATTTTCATTAGCTCCGTAAACATGCAATTAACATTCAGAACTGTGTTTAACTTAATTCCTGTTTTAAGGCAAAGACAAGTAAGAGTGGAGGGAACGTTTGTTCCATTTGTCAAGTTTGACACACTCCTTACCATAACAGCTTCCTAAAATAAAGGATCCGTGTGCGCCCCTCCCCCCGCATCTTTCTTTTCTTAAAACAAAACGCGCACAAAAAAGGGAAGAAGCAGGAATCCATTAAGTTTAAAACTGTACTCGACTGCCAGAGGCAGCCTAATGTATTCCAAATTGTCCCGGGCGCTCCCTACGTTGGCGTCTCATTCACTGGGAAAAAATGGGGGAATTACTGGTGGGGGGGGGAAGCATGGTAATCATAGCAGGTTTGTAACAGAATCCTCCACTTTTAATAAATTACAAATCACAAAAGTTGTCATATTTGTGGAGGGCTGTGGGAATATCTCTGAGGGTTTCAGTTAGCAACTGCAATAATTATGCCAACGGATTTTATGTATGTGCTTATTTATTTTAAAATGGGGGGGGGGGGGGGGGGGT